TTTTATTGTATCTAGGCAACACACCAACAATTATGCAGCCCTTTGTCAACACGATGCTGTACAACACTCACTTATTAACAACCCACAGTAAATGGGGTTTCATGAAGCCATGGTTCTCCCCTGTAAAAATAAAGCATGCAAGGTTTAAGAACCAATTCTTTACTTGTTTTTAGAAAGGTTAACACTGAATACAATATTTTATAATGAGGTCGAGCTTCACACATGATATGCTACCTCAATGACGGATGCCACCCTTTATGTTTCTTATTATGTTCTCTTCTCAGCTTCAATATAATGTCCCCTAGTGTTCCTCTCATTAAGTCAATATCCTGCTGAGAGCTGACTTACTGACTCCCCTATTTAGTCTCTTATCGTCCTAAATGTCTTCCTCACCTGCCTAATGAAGATGCTTCAAGACCTAGTTGTGACTTAACTTGTTAGCGTGTCTCTTTACATATCCTTCAGCCTCTAATCTTCTCTTCTCCTTTGCTCTGAGTCCTTCTGTGTTTATCCTTGGGCAGTGGGAGTGCCACCCCATGCAGGCAGCAGGTGTTCTGGGGTCTTAATGATTGTCTGCTTTCCAAATGATAATGAGGGCAGTCCCGCTGTGCCCTGGTCTTTTCTGATTGACGCGCAGCAAAACAGAGCGCAGCTAGCATCCGATCAATTAGTCGTGCCCACTTTTCTGCCAGGGTGCTGTTGCAGCTGTTACCGTCACCCTTTTTACCATTATTACTCGCGTCATCATTGACATCACGGCTGCTTTGCCCCCCTGCTGTTACTGCTAGCCAAGTCTCCGAGAGGTAGTGTGCCAATTTAATCTGTTAATAAGGCGTCTGTCTGCAGATTTGGCTGGACTTCCCCTCCGCACAGACAGTGATGCAGCGATTGTCCAGCACATTCTTTCCTAAACAGAGACAGACACATTGCATTGTTGATGTTGTAGTACCGTCTTTTGCTTCGTTCTGTGTGTGTTTGTGACACAAAGGATGTTTTGTAAGGCTATGTGGTAATAAGAGGCACAACACTACAAAAAATGGTCTGATTATGACATGTCCGTGGTACCATAAGCAGGTCAGACAATGACCCATTTAAAAAAAAAAAAAACTTCCAAAAGACGGGGCTGCTCAGCCAGTCTGACCCTCGCTGTCTGTCGACGGTGCTTTTTCTTCTCTTCATGCTTTCCCTCATCTACTTTTCTTATTAAAACCTTTCCTGTTGTTGCCTGTTATCATATCGCATCAACGATTAAAAGGTGCACATTTTCTCTTTATTTCCGTTTAAAGCTTTGTGTTCTGTGAAAACATCCGTCTCTTAGGTGTGGCTTTTAACTCACTGTGTGTATCTGTCTGTGTTAATCTCCATGTCCTTGTCTTTGTCAGTGCTCTTTCTTAATATGTCTGGTTTGTCTGCCCTGCAACAGCCTGCAGTGAGCAGCAGGGCCAGCCAGGGAATCACTAAGCTATTGGTTTAATGATGCCAGCTCCTACTTTACAGGGATTTACATGTCTGTGTCTCTAAACCCTGTCCACACACACAAACATGCATGAAAAAAACATTATTGGGTATGATAGACGGCTAGACACAAACACATTCAGATTGTGAAGTGCGGGCAATGTCCTTCCCAGGCACTGATTGCATCTACAAACTCTATCATTTTCTTTGTCAAACAGATTGCAAAGGTCAAACATACCTGCAGACAAAACACATTTGTGGCAAACATTTAGAAGAATTAGCAGCAGAATCAGACCGATGGAAACACACACACACACACACAAACACACACACAGGCGTATTCACAGTCTTCCTGTTAGGTTTGTATAAATGGTGAAACGAGTACAATGGGGGCAGGATCATTGAGACTAATGATACAGCTCATGTCTGAGGCCTGTGTTTTCCTGGGTGGAGAGAACACATTAAATAGCAGCGCGAGTGGCTGTGACTAAATGACAATGCAGCAGGCTGGAAAAAAGTACATGGCTGGAGGAGAAGGAGCATAAAAGTGGAGGAGGAGGGAAGGGAAAAACTGAGGAAGGGGAGCGAGAAAAGAAAAGAAAGGCTGTTATGGTTTCATGCAGTCATCCAAACACATGTTAGGTGCTTTTCGGTTGTCTAGCGGATGCATTTTTGGGAAAAACAATTGCACGAGAACATAGTGGGAAGTGGATGGGGAGGAGCCAAAATATTTAAATCCTGTCTGGGTTTCAAGTAGACCATGGACCTCTTAATCTCATCCACTTGACAAACATACACACTGGGCCAGGCAGACGTCTAGCTAGCCTATTTTCATGTGACCTGAATTCCCCAGTGTGGTATTTCTTTCCCTGCCAGGCTAATCTCATTAAGCTGGGTGCAGAGCTAAAGAACAAACACACTCTGCACCTCTTACTCCCACTCTGCCTTCCTCTCCTCCTTTTGTCTCCTCCTCATCGCATTCACTTTCTCCATCAAGCCCCCCTACTCACTTCTTCTATGCCTCCATTTGTGTTGCTGTCTTCCTTCCTCTACCTCCTCTTCCTCCCACTCGTATCTGTCGCTGCTTTCTGTCTAATTACAGCCTGCCACAGCAGAACCGAGTGGAGCCGCTCTAGCTAGGCAGAGGAGTCGAGCCCAGAGAGCCAGCTCTGCCTCAAGACGCACAATCAATCCTCATTATAGCCGGCTCTCCTGCCTCCACTTGCCTCTTCACGTCTGCCTGTTAAAGTGCCGCACACCTTCGTCCGACGGCCTGCGGAAATCGATGCAGTACATTATTGCATCCGTGTGGCAAGCCTGATTCATGGTCGACGCACAAGAGAATACAGTTATTTATAATCATCCTTATCCCCCTGGCTACTTTAAGGAGGTGATTTTGAATGTTCATGTGCATGAGAGTGTGCGTAGTATGCTTATGTGTGGCTCTAGCAAAGAAAAAAAAGGCCACACGGTAAGCAAAGTTATTTATAAGATAAGGACTTCGTTCCAAAGCAGGGCACCAAAGACGTAATGTAAAATGCAACCACATGCAGTTATTTTGCAGATGGTTAGCCCAGATTGAAGGTGGAATCTCAGCTTCCAATCAGCTTGCTGTTGCAGTCTGGCTGAGCTGCTGTTTTGAATCTGGTCTTAGCTGGTATTAGCAAATTCTTGGTCAAAACAGGTCGCCATCAGAACAATGATGTTTGTCATGAACATGAATCCTTAAGGATAAGTCTCATAAAAGAGAACATAAGGTCTTATGGTCTTTTGTATGAAAGTTGTCTCACAGTGCATAGGAAACTAGCTTTTTAAGCATAAAGCTTTACTGATTTATACATCTACACATTAAAGATTAAACTGGCTTGCTCAGCACCTCATTCTAATGTATTTTACAGGAATTTCAATACTTCCAAGGGAATACACTTCTCTCGTTTCAAGCCTGAAATTGAGGCAGGATGTAACCCCAGAGGAAGTTGCTGATGAGTACTGTCTAAGGCAAGGTTTCCTGTAAAGCACAGATAGATGTAAAGTTTGGTCTTTAGTGGTCAATTACGTTTTTTAAGAATGTATTTATGGATTTAACAATCATGCAGTTATAAAATAAAAGAGTTGTGCAGTTATTATGTTTGGTTATATATTTTTCCCGTTTTGAGCAATCGCCACATCTTAATCGATATAACACAGATTGCATTTTTTTGGAATAGCTGAAGAGTAGTAGTAGTGTTGTGTGTGTGTGTGTGTGTTTGTGCGTAAGTTGATGTCCACACAATGCAGGAAAGCTATGCATCAGTACTGAACTATCACCGCGTAGAGGCAGGGTAAACAGGCAGTCATGTATAATTACTCTTTTAAATATATTTGTTTTATAGAAAACATCATGTCTTCTTGTGAGTGGACTCTAATGTAGGAAGGCAAAACAAAGATATGTATTTTTGAGTAATAAATTTGCCTTTATTGCAATGACAAGTCAACATGTCTGCTGTGAAAAAGCTGTTGAATAAACAAACATTGATGTCCAGTCTATTCTAACGAGAGCACTCATTGTGTATGGCAAATCACTTTTAAAAAGTGCCTCCATAATACTTTTTGGTGCCCACCTGGTTCATAGACTTCCATATGAAGTACTTGTATTGCGTTTAGTTTTACAAAATGCATTAGATACAGTAGGTCAGATTATTACAAATGCGTTGATATTAGGTAAACAGAAATGCCCAAATACAGTATCTTGAGGAAAGAATTCAACCATTTGAAGTCGATTTTTCAAATGTAAAGTCGCCTGTGCAGGGTATATCTAGGGTACTAGTCTTAAGGCAGTCATGTAAACATTTTTTTATCTTTATGTAAAAGGGGGATTTGGTTTAAATATCGTCATCAGATTAACTCAGAAGCATACACTCGCCCATGCTATTCCTGGTAATCGTATAGACGCAGGGTCAGGGTTAGAGAATCTTTTCCGTGTGTGTTACAGTGTTGGTCCTTCTACCATCGGACTTACTTCGTTAGTGCACCGTGGCATTAGGCTAAGCTACTTTGAATGTTCTTGACTCCTGCATTCTCTTAGTCTGCATTTTTGTCTCAGCTTCGGTTTAGCTGTTGTGCTTTTGCTTTGTACCGCCAACATAGATACAAAGTTTATAGATTAGATAACTCTCAGGTCAAAAAAGCTTCAAAGCAGTTAGTGGCCAAGTTTTTAAATGCTTCTAACTCTTGTAGGGCAGTCATATTTATTTGCTTTCCTTTTGGCAAAGGAAAAACAAAAAAACCATGCCTACATTCATTTTGCCAGCAGTGTTTGTTTTCATTATGATGAACCGTGTTACTATTCATTGTTTTGTATTTTTTAGATTGGTTTGCATCATCCAGGGAGCTCATCTTTATAATGCCATCAGTACATGGCAGTGCTTGTCCCGCCTTTGTCACACCCCGGGAAATCATACATCATCTCTTGAGCTCTATTCGCCAATTCATTGCTACGAGGTTTTATCTTTTTAAAGATTATTCATTTTCCCACAGTCTCTCAGCCGTTTCCTCTCTGCCCCACAATGGACAAAGCCGTGCGGGACGTTATCTCGTCATGGTGGCGTCTGTCTATCTGTCTGTCTGTCTGTGTAGACAGATTATTGTGAGCACAGTAACTAAAGAACAATGTATGAAAGAATCTCTGTTCTTAAACAGCAGGTTCCCCAAGTCAAGCAGATAGTTTGATTAGATTTTATCATGTTGCTTACATTTCCACAATACTCAGGAAACAGATTTCCTGGGAACTACCAACAATTCTTAGAGTAGTCATATAGGGCTGATGGCCAACTATTTAAAATTCTACAACTAGTGGCGCAATGGCTAAAGGTGTTATAACACCACTAACAACGTTTTGAACTTCCCAAATGGGTGCTTACCTTATTGAATGGCTGTATTGGACTGCTTAAGATTGTCAGATGTATGCCTTGGATATACAGCTAAATTACAACACGTTGCTGGCTAAATAAATGCACAAAATATATAAATGATTTCCCAAATATATTGGAAAATATTGCAATATTGCAAAGTTTCCAGTTTTTGTCCTTACATGAGCGTGGTTTTGACCGTCTCAGTTAACACAAAACATCAAGCTTTTTCTTTAAGAAAGCCATTATACCTTAAATATACATTCGAATACCAATTTGAAAACTTTGTGATGCTTTGTATCTGTATTTTTCTTTATTATTATGATTATGTGTTGTATTTGTGTTATGAACTTTGTAAATAAGTTATCAACTTTCCCTCTGTTGTTCCCACACCTATCTGCTCCCAAACTGTCACCTGTCACTTACGGACGGTTGACTTTGCCCGAGGAGGAAACGCAGTGTGACATGACCTGATCTGTGACTCACAAGGTCACCTATCTCCCCACCCCCTAAGACATTGGCTGTCAACTTTTATCCTCCTCTTCCTCCTTGCCATTTCTTCCACCTCTCGTTCCCCCCTACTGATCAATCTATCAGGAAGCAATCATTTAAAAACACCATTATAAGTGAAACCAGTGTAGTGGCAAACCAATTAACCTTTACATCCTCCTCTCCCCGCAGGCCCAGGACCTGAACGTGATTGAGGAGGTGATCCGCATGATGCTGGAAATCATCAACTCTTGCTTGAGCAACTCTCTACACCACAACCCCAACCTGGTGTACGCGCTGCTCTACAAGAGGGAGCTCTTTGAGCAGTTCAGGACACATCCATCCTTCCAGGACATCATGCAGAACCTGGACACGGTCAGTCTTAGTTTTCACTCAAATATCAGAAGTGAATTTGGAGAAGCTTGAGTCATTTTTCCTCATGGCTGATTTGTGGTAATTATTCCATAGATCAAGGTTATACAGATTTTCCCTGAATGTCTCCGTCTGAAGGGAAAGTTTCAAAAAGCCAAGCAGCGCTGGAACATATGCGAACTGCATCGTTAACATGGTGTACACCGCGCTGAATCCTGTGAGATGAAGCAGTATTGATGAATTAATCAGTCCCCTTGTGTCGAGAGGCTGTCTTTCAAATATTCATTGAGTGGGGGGGAGGAAGAAACAGTGTGAGAGAAAGCTGTCATTCATGGTTGTCATAAAGAAGAGGAAAGGAAGCTTTGGTGTGTAGAGCATGTGTGTGAGGGATGGGGGATGCTGCATACATAGCCATGCGGGTTTTGCTGTTATCCATAAGTATGAGGGAAGCATGCTATCTCGAATCCCTCAGTTAAGTCAGCCTCCCTAAGGCTATCCTCCGAAGCCTTCCCTGCGCTTGCAAATCTGTGTGTGTGAGCATGAGATTCAGGATGAGGGGTTGCTTTTTTGCTCCTCTAAATTAACCCCATATGGGAGGCCTTCAGAGTTAATGAAGAGATTAGTATTAGATACACACACACACACACACACACACACACGCACACGCACACACAGAGAGGGCTCCCAGGGTGTGTTTGAATTCTCTAAAGCAATCACAGAGCGTGAGCAGAGAAAACATTGCCTGTAGATGCGTTTTTCACTGTTGGTTTGACAAAAAAAGGAGCATTAAAAAGAATTAGTAATACGTAGAGTTTTTTAATGATCAAATATCAAACATTTCTCAGGGGAAGAATCCGGCACAGCAGTGGAAACGTAAAAATACAGTTTCCTTGATCTCTTGTTTGGGCTTAAACCCAGAAGGCATCAGATAATTTGAGCTCCAGTGAAGTGTTCTTTTTAAGTGGGATGAAACACGCTCCAACCCTATGGTGAATTTGTTGAACAACTATAAATGTATATACTTTCTGAGTTTGTAGCCTTCAGGCATATTAGCCGATCGCATGTTCACAGCCTTTTGAATTTGGTTTGGAGGTTTTTTAATCTTTGAAAGCATATTTTATGCAGTTTTATAGACCTGTCTACAAAGATTCTTAATCAGTCTTGTCACTTACATTTAAATATACATAGCTCTGCACCCCTGCATAGTATAGATGCATTTTTGTTGTTAGCTGTTGCAAAATCAGCAAAATGTTGTCTCAAATGAAACAGCTATGTATTTCTTACTAAGTTTTGAGTCTGTAGCAGTGTTACTGTGTACAGACTGAAGCCCTCTACATGTCGCACAATGACACTTTGTTCTAACTTAGATCCCCACATTGCTCCCAGTGTCATCATATAGGGTGTGGCTGCTGCAACATCGATGTGACAGCTCTGAACAGCGGGATTATAAGTGTCAAAGAGCTTCATGGCGGAAACAGGATTGATATTAAACCTCAATGAGATCAAAATGGCATGAGTTCCTGTGTGTTAAGAACCAGGAACAGGGTTTAATGGTGAAGGATTTAGACTGGAAGTGGAGTGTAGATTTTTATAAATATATACCAGCTAAGATTCTTTTTAAACAAAAGAATAAACAATCAGACATTTATTTATTTTATTTTAATCGTTTATTTGGCAGGGACAATGCACAGTAATGAACACTTAAAACATTGAAATGTATCAAGCGTAACAGTGCCAGATTTAGCTTTCAGCTCATTTCCATCCGCAGTCCCTCACATAACACATTTAAGAAAATTACATTTTACAAACATAGCTAAATACATGATATGCAAAAACAGCAAGAGCAGCACACACAAGCATTTACCACATGGCAGGACAATATAGCAGATACGACATATAAAGTGCAAGAAAAGATAGAAGAGATACATAAAGTGCGAGAGGAGATACCCCTGTGTTAAAGTGCATTTAGCGGTGATTGCACGTCTGTTTGTTTCTCAACCATTCTTTGAGTTGACCTTTCAAACTATTGAGTATCGGACAATCCCGTATCTCAGTTGGGAGGCTATTCCACAATGAGCTGCCTTTAATGGAGAGGACATTTTGTCCAAAAGTGGTCCATCTATGGTGGACCTCACAGTCTCCTCTGGTTTCTGACCTAGTGCAGCGTCCAGTGTGTTTTTTGTGGATGAATTCCCCTAAGGGAGGGGGGGGCAGTCCATGTAAACATTTATATAAAAAAGCACATACTTTTAAAAGACTTAAAATTGTCAAAACTCAAGAAATTGTGTTTTCCACAGTGGTGGTATGAATTTGGCTTTCTCTCAAAAACAAGCAAACGACCAGTTTGTAAAACAGTATTCAATGTGGGATAGAATACAGTGGAGGTATGACTTTGCAGCACTGACAGTTAAGAAAGGTCTAATTTGTTTAACATTTTGCAAGTTGAATTTAATATTATTGGATACTTTTCTGTGGATACTTTTCTGTTTCTATGTTTCTTAAAAGTCAAGTTTGAGTCCAGTATGACTCCAAGATACTTGAACTGGGAGACTAGTTCTATTTCTGGTTATTTATGTTATTTTACAGTTGATGTTTAACATAAATTGAGCAAATTGAGCTACTTTAAATATCTTTAAATACAAATGTAAAATGCTATTCAGCTATACATAAAACATTGGTACTGCAGTTAACAGCCTCTAATTTCTGTTTTACATCTGCACCAACATACACACAAATACCAATGTATCCATGATAACATTGGCTTTCCAAAAACCAGAGTGTACAACAGTTGTGGTTAAAAATAGCTTTCCATTTCTAGGATTGAATGAAAGAAACAATGAGAAATGTTATCTTGAGTTTACCAGCTTCTAGTGTCCTTTAAAAACCTTGATAGAAGACGAAGAAACATTTTTTTAAAGGACATTTTTTAAAGCTCTATTTACAAATCATCACCATTAGCCCAAATGTATTTTTGGAAAACGTTAATTCTGTATTGTAATTGGCTGTTTCCTCTTGTGTGACTCTTTTAGGTGATAGGCTTCTTCAGTCAGCGTCTGGAGCTGGCTGGAAGTGACCTGTCAGTTGAGAGGGTTCAGGAAGTCATTATAAAAGGAGCCCAGGCCCTGCCCACAGACAGACTGAAGGTAAATCTCTCTCTCAGACACACACACACACACTCACACACTCACACGACTGGGGGGCCGATGAAATAAGCGAGCATGGAGACGAGGAACAATGAAATTTGAAACTGGTTGAAGAAAAAAGAAGTGGGACATATTGGACATCAAGGTGAATGTGTTGGGGGTGCAATGTGTTGTCAAGGGCTGCGAGTTATGGCTGATTTGGTGGTGGGGAGGTGAGGAAAAGAGAATGAGTTTGTCTAGAAAGGTGGGAGAGGTATGGGAGGGAGATATGGGCTGAAGCGGGGGAAACATGCAAAGAGCCATTGGGACATGAGACGAAAAGGGCTAAAGCCCAATTCTCATAAGCATTAATGCCCATCTTCCCTCCATCTCTGCTGGCCTGCTACACACGAACACGAAATGGCATTTCTAGGAGATGGGATGGGGGGCTAGGGGGCACTTTGTCATAGGCATATCGGACTTGGGGAGGGAGTGGGGGCTGGGGGCGGACATAAATCTGCCTCTGCGCCTCGTTACCCAACACTCCCAACACTCCTGGCGGGTTGGCTAACCCCCGCCCTTCCCAGTACTCCTCCATTAATCAGTGAGGAAATATGTAACCAGCAGTCTCCCCACAACGCTCCTCACCAGCACCGAAGCTCTTAATTGCATGTTTCATCATGTGTTTCATGTTCTATACTTGGCGGCGGGCTATAAGGCATTTGTCTCACTAGCCTATGTGGAGGAGGGATGGTGAGCGGCCACGCGTCCATGTGCTCTCTCTCTCTGTATCTCAATCCCATTCGGCTCCTTGGAGCGCTAATGTAGCAATCGACCAAAGAGCCGTAGAATTACACATTGAGCCATGTGGATAACCCCGCCGTGTCTTTCAGCGAGGGGGCTTTACCTGTAGCACACACTCATGCTTTCAGCTGGACTGGGAATACGTGTGGTCTATGATTAATAATAATCCTTTATTCATAGTGCTTTTTTCAGAATCATAGTAATTCACAGTTACAGCACAAATAAAAAGTGTTTTAAAGAAAACAGATAAAACAGAAAAGATTGGAAAAGAAAAACATTGATAAAAGAGAATTTAAAGACAATTCAAAGGAAATGTAAACTCAAGTAAAATTGCCAAAGGCTGTCATATCACTATGTTGTATGAACTTAAAGGAGACCTCTTCTTTAGGATGTGTGCCTGCAATGTAATGGTGTATGTCGATTGTGCAGCCATCTGTGCCAGTTTTTCTCTTTGTTTCTGTTGTGCACATTGACTCAGCGCCACCTGAGTGCTTTTCAGCTCTACAGGGTGACATGAAGCGAGGAGTATATCTGGGCAATGTCTCCTCGGGGAGTCCCTGCCGCCTGATGGTACCATTGCTCAAACAAACAGCTGTCTCTCCACTTTTCGCTTCCCTTCATCTTATGTGCTCATTCGGCTATACAGCTCCCAACGAGAAAATCCATAGGCTGGATTCATGTTGTGTGGAATCCTCGATGGCAGTTGAAGTTGGTAATTACTCAGTAAAAGCTCTGAGAAGGAGTATTGCTGTCTCAATCCGCTGTGTTTATGTCTGGCTGACAAGAAAGACATGTAAGGATGATTGTTCCTGTCTAAAAAAAAAAAAAAAGAACAAAAACAAGTTGAGTCTGAGCATGTTGTTCTGCTGTGTTTTTCATTTATTTGTGAAGTTATTTCATCCTGAGGTCATGTTCACATTTGTAGGAGCACAGTGCATTTCAATGACGGCTGTATTTACAAACGCGTAATCTGCTGTGTTGACATTTGAATTCCTGAAATTGTAGCCATGTCAACGCTAAACTGGCTAAAGAAACGTTTTCCCTGTTTTGGCTTTCTGTCCTCCACAACCAAAACCTTCTTCAGAGGAAAATGCCATAACCAATAATTCACCATTACCGAATACAAATATGAGGTCAAATCACAATGGAATTCTGTCAACACTTTTATACGCAACATTGCTAAAAAAAATATGTCTCCTAACATTTTAAAACTACTTTTTCACCTGGAAACAATTTGCATCTACTTTGGTGTTTCCAAATCTTTAAGTAGAGGCCCCTGTTCCCATTGAATAAAAAGATAGTGACATTTGTCCTCTTTTCAGATTAGAAACTGCATCACAGCAGAGAGCAGACAGTTCAGCTGACCAAAAACATTTATGATGGAAATGACTTTAATGCAGGTTAATGACAGCATCCATGTTTTATAATACCAACATTGAAATGGGTGATCGCATAGATGGTCTTAACTGTACTGCCACACAACAGATCGGTCAGTGTACTCCTGATCTCTGGGATGATCTACATTTAATTGCAGGACAGCTGAATTCAAATATGAGTTGGTCTTCTTCACATATATTTATGTTTCTGTGTCAGACTTTGGTGATTAGTTTCAAATACTTATATAACAGCTTCTTGTAATTACTACCCGTTAACCAACAGTAATTCTGAAGCTACTGTGCTGCCATGATGAAGCCGTACAGCAACAACAGCTGCTCTGTGTACTCGGATAGATCGCCTTTTAAAGTGATCAATCACAAAGTTAGCGGCCACGGAAAATCCTTCCCAACTTTACTGCCCTGTGACCCTTGGCCCTCATTTCTTTTTATTTTGCAAAGCTCTGTTTCGCCTGTAAACATTTTATCGCCAAGTTAGCATTTTAAGCTGGTATACACTCTGGAGACAATTTTTTTGCAAGAAAAAGTCTTTATCGAGGGAAAAATGCCCTGAATGTACCGCCTTAGTTCACTTCATTGTACAATGAAGTGACGCTTAAAAAGTGTTCTTTCATGTCAGATTAGATATTAGTGGTCATTTTTGCATAAAAACAGCCTTTTCACATGGCTCCACCTTTGTCTGAACCCAACTTAAAAGGCTGCCTGGAAATGTGTGTGTTGTGAAGGGAAGACGGTTAAAGTAAAGTTAAACATTTGCTTAGAAATACTGACAAAACAGATCCATGTTGTTTGAGGTGAGTAGAATAAAGCCTGTTTACCTAAAGGATCTTCAGCATTTACACAAAGAAGTAGACATGTAAATGAGGTCCCAACTGAAAGGAAGGTTTAGAAGGTAGTTAATACCTCAGGGATGACCCTCAGCACCTCGTCACTCAACTGCCCCTCTCTCTCTTTTGTGTGTTTGTGTGTTGTTTCAGGGTGTGTGAGGCTGAGTGGCTCTCAAAGGCAGTGTCTCTGGAATGAGTTGTTTAGCCTGACCAGCTGAAATCTGCCTTATTGAGCAGTGATAGCCGACAGACACTCTGGCTCCTCAGGAGGGGACAGGGGGTGGGGGGGGCTTACCAGCTGTTACTCTGTACCTGCCCCTTTGTAGGTCTGACGACTGGTCAGCGCTACTTTCCCACACATTGACAACATGATGAATATACATTTTCTTACTCTAAAGTCGGTCCTGGGTTCTAAAACGTTTTCAACTCAAATGTAGGGTGAACAAAACTTCTGCCCTGGAAGTAAGATGATTGTAACAATAATTAAGTTTGTGTAATCCTAAACTTTGCTCCTTTCAATATTAAATGCTTGAGAATGATTTCAGGATGTGAGTTCTTGCATCAACATTTCATAATTTAACAAATAGACAAGTCTAGCAACTTGAGTCCTGCAAAAATTCAAAAACAGATGAATTGTTTTGTCTTCAAAATCTTTACACGTTAACCTCTAGTTAAATGCTAATGGAGGCTTGTTCACAATGACCATTTTTACAATTAACTGGTCCCACTAAACACAACTTAAGCTGACACAAATGCCATTAGTTTTGAAGGAATTTGTTCCCATAACCCAGAGTATTGGACACATTTTACAAGGTGAGATGTAATCAGAGGACCACATCATTGCAAATCATGAAAGATGTACCAAATATCCTGACAATCCATCAAATATTTGTCTTGACATTTTACTCAAAGCCACAAATGTCAACCTCATGGTGGCACTAGAGTAAAAGTTAGGGATTCAAAACAAATAAACTTATTAGGATTCGTCCTCTGGAGAACTTAAATGTGATGGCCATTTGAAACTGTTGGGCCAACTGTTCTAGTTCAATTTTCTTTCCTAGTAAATGCTAGGTTGAATTTGAATATGTTACAGTACATTATATTATAACAAATATTGTAAATAATTCAGTATCTGCTTCAATATAAAACTAAAAGTGTCTAAAAATATTCAGGTGGATTTTTGTATCAAAGCCTTGTGGCCTGAAGTCACTTGAGTTAATATTTTTCATTTTGAAATATAACCTTTCAGTGTGTGTGTGTGTGTGTGTGTGTGTGTGTGTGTGTGTGTGTGTGTGTGTGTGTGTGTGTGTGTGTGTGTGTGTGTGTGTGCATATTTGCGTTCATATTTGCTCCCTAGCCGCATTCTTCTCTGTCTGACCGAGCTCTGACAGCACTGCGGCTGCAGAGGCGGGACGGGAACACTGAGTCCTGAGTGAAGATATGAGGCCAGCCAGTCAGTCTGTGTTCAGGGGCGAGGGTCTGACCCGCCAGGACCTATAACTAACTGATATGAGCCCTGGCCAAGTGGACCCAGACAGCTGCCAGACAGAACAACACCGAGTGGAGGAGGAAAAAGAGCCAGAGGAGATATGTAATGAGAAGAAGCCACAGTGTAGACAGAATAAAGAAGGAGACATTATTAAGGATGATATATGCTCAGATTTCCCCCCCCAAAAAAATCAGGAACACTTTTTCATTGACTCATTTAGTGATATCCAAGACTTCCCATTGCACCAAATCCCGTGGTGTTGGTTATTTCCAATATTGAAGTAGGAGGAACAATCTTGGCTATTATGATTCATGGATCATTTATCTTTTTGTTTCATTTTGTGCTCAATATCTAGTGAAAATCATCCGGTGTGTGCCCATGGGGACTGTATATTCATGCCGTTTAGGTTCATAATTTCTTCTCCAGTCAGCACTTGTCTCATTGAATTCCCGTTTGAATATAATATGTTTGTTTTATTGGCATAGAGTGCATCATTTCCACTTACTTTTCAGTCACTTGACAGCTTGTGAGAGTACTCCCTGCTGTACTGAACCACACTGACAGCTTTAATTGTTAACGGTATAGTTAAAGGTTTGGGACTTTTTGTTTAAAAATGGATGAGAAGATCAACACATCTCTCATTTCTGTTCACTAAATATCAAGGTGGAGACATTTCACTTGCAAAAGATGTGGTAACGGCTAGCCTGGTACTTGTAGAAAACTGGAATATATAAAAACAATTACTGGGTTTACATGGTTATATCTTTTTAGGCTGATATAACATGTTATTGTTAATAAAGTGAGTTTTATATTTGTTGCTAGGAAGATTTTGTTACCTTTGGACTGAGCCAATGTTTCTCTCTGTCCAGTCTTTATGCTAAGCTAAGCTAACAGGCCGCTGGCTGTAGCTTCATATTCAACATTCTAGCATAAGAGTGGTATTAGTCTTCTCGTCTTGCCACGAAAGCTAACTTTTCATTTAATTAAGTGGGGGTTTCTTTGCTTGAATGCTTTAGCAGCATGTTGTTCTTTTACTGGTCTTTTCCTTAAGCTTTAGTTAAATAATTGTTGTTATTTCATGGGGTTAGTATAGCCAGCAAACCTTGTGATCTTTTCTTTTTAAATGTTAAATTACTGGAGTTGTAATTATGTGATTTTATTCACGACACATAAACCAGAGAGGCCTGACATAAGCACATACTTGTTTTTCATAGAAAATGTTGGCTAATGCAAAGACACAAAGCATTTAAATACATGCAGTGATTGCTGAGAAAATATCCTTTTTGTGCTTATTGTCAAGGTCTGATTTGTTTCACTTGTTCCTGTGAAAGCTGTATTCAAAGGTCATGATGAAGTGCTCCTCATATTCTGTTGCAGTCGTTAGAGAGAACATTTAAACAGAATTTTTTGTATTCAAATGTCCTACTTCGCCTGTATGTCTTTCTATATTTGTGTTACTGCTTACTCCACATGTTCCAAAAACATATGATCTGCTTATTATTTGGAGCATATTTCCATATATTTGCAACTTAATGAGGGAAAGTTTGCATTCCTTAATGCCCTAACATAGAAACAATGTTAGAAACACACGTGTTTATCGACGTGGCAGTGTTTGTTGATTAATGCTTTAATTAACTTAATGATATAATTAGCATAAGTACTTATGTTTTATCAAAATGATTATGGCAGGTCATTAATCTCTAACTGCCTCTTATTTGAGTTTATTTTGCTTAGGAAACAACAGACTTGCTTAATGAAGAAAATAATATCCATCTAAACATTCAAAACTTTACTATTCAAATCAGAATTCCTTTATTTAGTGGGGAAGTTTACAGTGTAAAAGCTATAGTGGCATAGCAGTAAATAAGGCAAGCAATAATACAAAAAGAAGGAAAGCACACATTAGTAATAAAATCAATTAGTACACAACCACGGCTAAAAATTAGTAGCTGCAATAAGAAATAAAAAAGTAAAAGTGATCCTGGGTTGAGTAACCGTCACTATCAGTGTCATGTTAACAATTGATGAGTTGGTAAGCTCGCCTACGAGACAGTCACCTACACACAAATACCATCCAGATAATACAGCTCCTGCTTTGTGTCTCCCCAGCACAATGGCAGTGGTGTGTGTGTGGTCTGGCCTCAGTAGCCTGGGCCTGGCATCTGGCCTGTGACCCCGCAGCCCCTCTGTCTGTGTCATTATGATACTGATAGTGAGGCTGTGAATAGAGGCAGCCCGGACTCAATAGAGCCGGCTGGGATGGCCACATAAAGGCCGTCAGCATCTGTCTGTCAGCGCAGACTGATTACTGTACATGCGTGTAGTAGACAGGAGGATATAATGAGGTACCTTTTTATTATTGATGCTGTTATTCTGCTGCCTACCTGCTGTTAGGTGGGCTTGTGTTTGCTTCAAGTGGCTTTTTAAAATGGAGCTTAACGTTGAGTATTTCTTTTGAAGACACTCCACAGAGGAGCACTTTATCTTCTTAATGGGAATTTTGTCAAATGGAGCTGCATTGATTAGTGCATCAGTCGTTTGGCTTGCTTTTCGAGCAAAAGCGTCAACAATTAACTGATTTTGCTTCAAATGTGAGAACTTTCTTTTTCTCATCAAAATTGTAAATCGTACATCTTCAGGTTTTACATGTTAAAAGAAGACATTTAAAGAATTCACTTGTGTCTTTTGGTCTTGAATTTAAAAAGTGATTTTCAATCTCATTCTATATGTTGTAAATAAAACTATTGATTACCACTCAATTGTTTGATCCATAAAAATGTCAGAAAAAAAGGTTTATCATAGTTTCATAAAAAAATTAAAAAGGTTGTTTTTGTAACCAGCAGCCTAAAACTCAAACTTAATTTTGATAATCTGCCAAAATCTACCCAATTTGAGAATCTGGAACTTGTACATTTTTTACTACTTTGCTTAAAATATGAAAACTATTCATCCATTTCCTGAATGTTGCTTCCAAATGGCCTAATGGGCATACATAATAGGTATGTACGACATGGTACAGTCCACAGTCTGTTGTCTCTTTGTTCCTGCTGGATTAGCCCCAAACATATCACACTGAGGCCCAGCAGTTTGAACTTGATGACCTCTCTCTGTGTGGCTCAGTGAGTGTTTTGTCCATTAAAAGGCCATGTCATGACAAGCTGAAGCTTGAAGAGTCGAATGGCTATTACCAAGTAATCAGGTTACTCAGCACTACTCCGCTGGTCTTAACAAATAGGTCACGCACTGTAAAGTTACACCTCTGTTTGGTTTCGGTTTATTAGATTGTTTTGCTTGTTCTTTATGTGTTTACGTGTATTGAGGTCTATTTTCTCATGTATCCCTGGGCTGTTGCATGAGCGACCGTCACACTGTAGCTGTAGTCGCCTGCGGGGATCTTGAGGTGACGTTAGCACATTAGCCGGCGCTTTAAGAGGTCAGCGGTCGTAGCTCAGAGTGATACCTGTCCCGCAGGCCGCTGTAAGCAATGTTACCTGACAGACAGATGGAATTACATCTGCCATCAGGCTACTGTACCTGGTGAAGAGTGATTACTGAGAGCCCTGAACACATTCTCTCACCTGTGTAGCAGCAGAGATGTCACTGCGTTGGTCACAGCATTTTACAAATGTCTTTCATCAGCACCTTCCAATATGGTTGAAGGCAGTGTCTTTATGATGTTGGCGTCTCCGGCTATGTTTAGTCCATCAATAGCACTTGGGAAAAGCTGCAGCCCTCTCATTGATTTCAATATGATGCTGCAGACTTGACATAATAATGATTCACACCAAAAGTTGAACGCATACATGGTAAATAACGTGAATAAAAACACAGTGAATAAAGGGCTAATTTCACCTTTGACCTGGCAAGTGTATAACAAAAGATCAAATGTTCGTCACCATGGTTATTTCCAGAGTAGTAAAATCCAGTCTTGGTGTGGTGCCTTCTTTTTCTTGCTTTAGCAGGTACAAGCTTCACGAATAGCACTCACAGAGATATCACTGCACCCTCTCTGTATATATGAAGCTGATGTGTTTGAAGTCCTTGAGCTCTAGGATGCAGCCTCATGCTGAGAAGGTTTTATTTAATCTCTTCTTAAAGGCATTAACACTTCCTATATTTCCAACACATCAGGGAAAACATGTTAAAACACAAGGTTTCCTCCCATGTTGTGTATTCCTGCTGCAAACATCTCCCTGTAAGATTGTCATCAATGTTTCTAAACGAGACACAGATCTACCTGGGTTGTGCATCCAATCATTTTTCTTCAAATCTCTTCTCTTTTTGCGTGAACAGAAGTTTCCAGAGCTGAAGTTCAAGTATGTGGAGGAAGACCAGCCGGAGGACTTCTTCATCCCCTACGTCTGGTCCCTGGTCTTCAACGCTGGAGTTGGCCTTCACTGGAGCCCGCACGGCATCGAGCTGTTCAGCATGGACTCTGGCTGAAAAACAACAAAGCAGATGTGCGTGTGTCTTCATCTCCTGTCAATTTAAGAAAAAAAAAGAAAGACTGAAGGCATGTGTGTGTTTGTTTGGGTGGGTGTGCGCGCATTGCCCTTTATAGTATGTGCACGCTGCTTTGAAAGTGCCTCGACCTTGTACAGACTGGTGTTTCTTTTTATGCAGCACAACCTCTTTCTCCATCATATCATAATAAGTCCTCTGCTTCTACACTGTGAAGCTTCATCTGCACTGGTTAACTGTTAACGCAGTCGATCCAAATGATATACAGTCAGGCCTGTAGGGATTATATATTCAACACCTGAGCAGCATCACTCGTTTCTGCAACACATGCTGAGTTACTTCTGTAAAACACTTGGTTATTGTGAGGAGCTCAGGACACTGGCGAGGGATAATCCAACGGTTTTTTCTTGCTTAAGAAAAGGTCAATTTAAACACATGCACCTAAGTGTTACACTGCTCTGGTTCTTTTACCCGCTGCACTGAATGCTAAGACATCCACTTCATATTCAAGGCTTGGAAATCATACAACACACGTTTATGAATAACTTATGTAATATTGAGTTTCTCATTATTACCGTTTTATTTTTTTACCAACATTGTTCTCTGGATACAGATACAATGGGTTTGTATAAAATATATTTGTTTGTAAAATACATTTTAGAAAAAGGTCATAGAAAGCGAGAAAGATGGTGTTTTTTTATAACATGCATGGCTTTCAGATTAGAGTCCACCAGTGTTTCTTGGTGGCCCTCCCCCCATAATCCCCTTTGAATATCATAATACTTATTACTGTTTTGTAGTTCTTGGATGAAATGAGCGGTCCGCAGGACGCCGATTCATGTGATTTCATTGTTGCTTCCAGTTTGTTTATTTGACTTTACCCTGACTTAGTTGTTTCCATTTCTTCCTGATGGTTACCAAAGCAACAACCTAAAATAGGACGAAGTTATTCAACATTCTGTCCTTTGTGCATAATTACAGTTGGCTTTTTGATTTGTCACTTTATTTGCATCTTTTACTGGAGACTTTGTATTGAATTATTTATTTTTCATGGTTTTTTTTATATNTATTACAACAAATGTATTATCTGTCCATATACAGCAGCCCCCACTTGATGTAGCAGTAGTGTTTAGTAATGTATTCATTGATGACTACTCCTCCTATGGGCATCAAGTGGGGGCTGCTGTATATGGACAGATAATACATTTGTTGTAATATTATTAATAACATGTATTTATAAGTTATATATATATATATATATCATTATTTATTTTTTACAAATCACGTAACTGTTCAAATGTATTTGTAGCTGCTTATAACTACATTATCACGTTTTATAAATAAACAATGTATTACGTATCAAATTACGTTTATACTTTTACATTAACAAAAATATTTGATAAATTGTTGATTTGTTTGTTGATAGATTTGTGAATAGACTTACAATACAGAAACAACAAAACGTTATGACTAAGATGTAAAAAATGAGTGTGCTCGGCAATTTATTGGTCTGGCTCTTAATGGGACTTTGAAGGCAGCATTTATTTACTGGTGGGTATGACTATGTTTGAGTCATCTACTGACAATGTTAAACACCTGTAGGCAAGGCAAGAAAGAATGCACCCTAAAAACAAGATTGTCTGATGATGGTACATTAATCCACTTTCAAGAGTGACGGGATGAATGGGGAAAAAGCCTGTGGATTTTGCAAAACATGAAAGTGGCATATTCCTGAAAAAGCCTGATAACAAACAGTAGGCCTAATGTTTATTATCTGTTATTATATCTTGGGGCTCTGTTTTTTCCCTAAACAAAAGGGAAGGGTGCTACTAAGCTAATGTATGTGTCTACTCTGGCTATTAAAAAGAGATCACAGATTGTGACTCAACCAGCGTACATAAACACAGACAGGGTGGTCCAACATGCTTCTGGCTTTCTGTGTGTGTGCGCGCACGCGTGTGTGCGTGCGTGTGTTTGTGTGTGTCTCTTCCCAGAAATGTGCAGCAGTAAACACACAAAGAGGCACAGAAGTAACATTACCACTGGCTGGGGGCATAAACAGTGACACGCAACGCAATGCAATGCAACACAGCCCCATACTTATTTTCATACACATTTGTGGGTACAAGCACATTGCACATTTTGACACTGCATGTCACTGCACATATCTCAAAGGGCAAGAAACCATGTGCAATCAGAGGTGCAGAGAGCAATTGTGAGGCCCCCCGAGAGAGCTGCCCTGCTTGGACTGGGAGCCTCTGGCGGTCCCCCTGGGGCTGAAGGAGGCCCTTACCCTTCACTCTTTCCTCCATGACACTAACCAGACACAGCAGCACATACACATTCAGGGATGGGGGGGCGGGGGCTCTGTGTGTGTATACGTATATATGAGAGAGACCAAGAGGCAGACATCAAGAGGGAGTGAAATGAAGGGGGGACAGAGAGAAAAAAGCGGGAGACGTTAACACATACGCTGAAAGCCCCCCAGCTTTAACCCGCAGCTTAGAGCATTTGTTGACGTTTTTTCATATCCTCCTCTCAGTCTCTTCCTCGTAAAAGAGAGCAATTACATGTCCAGGACAATCCCACATTAAACAAACATTAGTTCTCTCTCCAGAGCCAGACTCAGCCAAATTACATTGTTTCCAGATGCCCATCACAAGCCCACCCTCTCTCTTCAAACCCGCCCTCATCTCCTCTCCTCCTGCTTTACTTTCTCCTCATGTTCTGCTCCTCTTTATTTCTCCCTATAGTTCCCTAAACCTCCCAAGTTAAGATGTGAGTTTGTGAATAACAGCCGAGCAGCCTGCTTTCAATTACACCGCCACATCCAAGACCACTGAAGGGGGAAAGGAGGGCCAGAGATGGAGACTCAAAAAACTTGTTTTAGATTGTCACATCTCTATACCGATGATGGACAGTAGACAGTGTCTGAGGTCATTATAACTGGCCAGATAGGGAAAGCCATGCTTAAGGTTTTAGTTTGCTTATTGGTGAAATAAATGTTCAGCGATTGTTTAGCTTCAAGATGACACTATCAACCATATCTTCAATAAGCTTCCTTTCCTACTTCAGTTGTAACAGTTAAATAGCTGTTTCTTTTTCATCTCGGATCTCATTCTTCCGTTGATCTAAACAAATTAGTCAGCGATTTGCTTCAACAAAAGCAACAAGAGTCCAAGTCCTTAACAGCGTATATATACACAAATTGCACAGCATGAACATCCTGACACACTATCTGCAGAAAATAGATAATACCGTGTTAAATAAACTGCAGGGTAATGGGCCAGTTCTGTTGTTTCTTTAAGTCTTTTATGAAGGGATCTCATCAGAAAAGGATATTACTATGTATGATAAAGAAAGCTATCTTAATAAGTCATGTTGGGTTCTGGAGATAAAATAATAAAACATTCTTAGTAGCAGCCCTTTTGATAAGGTTTACATTTGAAACCCTCTTAATATGCCATACTTTAATTCTTCGCATTGGCATTTTAAGGTTAATGTTAACTTTAGCATCCTTACACCCACATAGACAATGCTAGCATGTTGAGCAGGTTCACCATCTTAGTTTAGTCTGTTCGTGAAGTAGGTAAATGTGTGCACATGCTCAGAAGACAAACAATACAATATGTTCTTTATATTCATGAGATGTCAATACAGCTGAAAGGTGACTTTAGCTGTAAACAGTATTCTATGGGAAGCAATGTCACATTAAGTTAGTATAGTCTAAGCTCAAAGATAACAGCGGTGTCAGGAAAATGGACCAGTTCTTTCTTAATAGTCTATGACCCAGACAGGATGTCAGACACTGTTCTTGGAAAATAAAAACTTTATTGTAAAATTCCCATGAAATAATCCCATTGAAAATGTGACACATGCCATTGAGCAACACACTTGAAGTCTACCAAAAGCAGCAACACTGTGTAGTCTGACCTCTCAGTGTGTGTGTGTGTGTGTGTGTGTGTGTGTGTGTGTGTGTGTGTGTGTGTGTGTGTGTGTGTGTGTGTGTGTGTGTGTGTGTGTGTGTGTGTGTGCGTGTGTGCGTATTTGTCTCATTTGTTGTCACTATTATTAAATTCACTCTTGAGTGCACTCTCCTATGGAAACAGCTGGCTGGACGGATATATTTAACAGAGAAGATATAATCAAGGCAAACCTAACTCTCTTTATGTCATTCTTTTACATTTGTTGTCATATGTTGTGGACATTTATGCATGTGTGTGTGGATAAAACAGAGCATTAAAAGAAGCCCTGAAGGGAGGACGCATCAAAATAAAGCTGAATAATTGCATTTTATATGTTTTTGTGGGTGTGTGTGTGCGTGTGCGTGTGCGTGTGCGTGTGCGTGTTTGAATTTGTTTGTGCATTGATGTCTGGTTGTAAGGGGGGCTCATCAGACAGCAGCTACATGGTTGAAGAAGCACTCAAATAAACTCACGTTTCCACAAGACCTAGGGGCATCTATGGGGACCTCCTAATACATCTCCAAACCCCAAACACACACACACACTAACACAGATATGTTTACGCACACACACACTTATCTCGGACCGAGCAAATCTAATGAGACAGCCAGACTGCGACGTGTACAGACAAACCTTAAGGCAGAAGTGCCTGAACACAAACAGACAGTTATAGAGTCAATAATAAACAGAGGGTACCCAGTGGTCAGGTGTGTTGTCCAAACAAGATCCATTGATCACGACTGCATTGGGACAACATCAGTTTGAATGTATATTAGTTAAAGCCAACCTCTTATTTACTAATGTTGTGCTGTTAAGATTTCAATTTCAGATCAACACTGATGTTCTGTTTCAATATTAGTGTGTTGCCAGACAACAGCTGAGACAATCAATATGACTTTCACATCTGTATTCTAAATATGTAGCTTCAGCCAGCAGCTGGTTATTTCAGCTTTAAATTAGACTGAAGTCTTCCGACCAGCTTTCTAATCAAAATGATGTTTTAATCTTCTTTAATTTAAAACTAAAAATATAAACAGTCCCCTTCATAAGCATTAGGCTTGCCGTCTCAATCTTCTTTTCTAATTAGCAAGAAGGCGAATAAGTAGAAACGTGTTAAAACCTTCATTAATTATTCAAGACAACATTTCAATCCGTTATCAGTGATTGGAAAGAAAATTAAAATTAAATAAAAAATTAACAAATTATTTTATAAACCCTTTTAAGTCTTAAGACCAAATGTTTAAAATGCTTGACAATAAAACAAGTCATAATTTAATCAATTAGTCAATAACCAATACATTTATCGCATCCTCTTGTTATTTAGCCATTTAAGATTAATGACTGTCTTGTTCCATCTCAACTATTAACATCTTTTAGTTTTAACTTATTTTTATTTTAATCTATTGTCAGTATATATTTTGTTACCTATAAATTATTAGATATCTTGTATAATCCCTCTTAAAATCTTTGTATGTTATTGGGAGTATATTAAAACTCACATTGCTTTATTCATCCTGCATTGTTAAAGCCAAGGCACATTGAAATAGTGTTGATAGCAACTTGATATATCTATGTATTCTTTTATTTCATTATCTATTTGTGTGTGTGTTACTCACATAGTCGGGCAAGGCAGTGTCGTCGCCCTGTCTGCCTCTCAGAGACTGCGTCGCCTGCTCCAAGACCTTGTTGTGCTTCTTTGAAAGCAGCGCAAACAAACTGCAGGAGACACAGAGAGGGAACACATGAGTGAGAGCAGCATCGACAGATGAATGATACACTTCACCAAAAGAAACCAAATACAGTTGTCACACCGCACCATGTCATTAATGTGCTGTAAATACTCCAACAGTGACCTTTACTCAGCTTAACTGAGGAGAGAAGCCTTTATTAAAAACAGATTATTATTAGAGAGCAGCCTGTTTTGCTTTATAAATGAGGCCATTCAAATACTGAATAATAAGATTTTCAAAAATGATGTCTCCAATTTACCATCAGCTTACAATCAGAACTAGTTTTTTAATAACTCGGCTATATTAAGGCCTGCGTAGGTCACAGCTTTGTTTACTCCGTTTTTTTCATGTACGTGTGTGTGGATGTTCTGCCCTTTGACCCACGAGATAACTGACTTGCTTCAACCTTATTGTGTGTGTATGGTTGTCTGTATGGGACTGCATGATTGGATGTTATTGCTGTACACATAGACAAGAGTGCATCACGACTATGTATGTTATTTATGCTCGGGTAGCAATGAGGTGGGTAATACAAACACGCATGTACCCAAAATAATACAAGAACACAATATGATTTGTCTAAAAATACATTTGATCTTGTTGACTTCTTTATTACATCTTATTTAATCCAATACTGAGTCTTGCTTGTCAGAGTCTCCTATCGTATTCATTGCAGTGTTTATCATAATTATTAGTGACCTTCTGTTTTAATTACAACTTTTTAATAGTCTTTCCAGGCCCCCGAGGCTGTCGAATGTTTAATTTGTGTGTCAATTAAGGAAAGAAATTGCAGAATAGATGAAATTCAATGACAGCAAAGGGCTAGGGAAATTCAGATGCAGAGCTCAGCTAAGCCCCATAAAGCTACACCTGTCCATCTGTCAGCAGGGGGAAACACACACACATTCTTTCTGCAGGCTAATTGGCTGAATGATAGCTGAATGGAGATATCTGAGCAGCTATGAGGAGGTCTACTTGTTATCTACAGACCTAATGTCAAAGGTCCTATTAGCCATGACTACTTAATGGGACCTGTTGTATTACCTAGTCAGTTTTTCTTATTCTAAATGAGACCACCGAGCAAGTTCCACCTGGGACATTTGCCCACAATTACATCCCTCATTTTTGGAGAGGCAGTGACGGACACGGCCCGGGGATCAGCGACACAGAAAGTCTTCAACACTGCTGGCCTGATCCCAAAATCAGTTATGAGCCTGCAGTAATGACAGACATGGTCTCCACTGACACACTGGAGATGTAAAGGGGCTCTGTCTTTACCAGTTCAAAGGATTACCCTCATCCGGACACACATACAGTGGGTGGTTACGAGCTGACTACATGCATGTTCTCACATTTATTTGAAGGCATGAGCGACTGCAAATCATTTATTTTATCAACAAATTGGGAAGAAAATGTCTTCTAGACTGTTGGTCAGATCATAAAAGCTATTTTATAAGATGTCACACTGGGCTCTGAAACTTATTCTAAACATATTTTAGAATAATACAATTAATAAAATATCTGATGGGTTTATTGGACACATGAGTATCTGTGGTGACAGAGGAGGCAATTCAAACTAGGGCTGCTCAATTAATCGTATTTTAAATCGCGATTACGATTATGGCTTGCAACGATTACGAAAACAACGTAATCGAAATAAAACGATTCTTTTTTTATTATTATTTAATTTTTTTTGGTTTTTCAGTTGAATTAAAGTTCAGGGTAATCAATTGTTAAAAACATACTGTTAAAAACAAAATTCTCTAATAAATGGATGTTTTCAAAGTCAATGAATAATCGCATTTAATAATCGCAATTACAATTATTGACCCAAATAATCGAGATTATGATTTTTGCCATAATTGAGCAGCCCTAATTCAAACCCATTGTTGCCTCTAAATAAACAACACCAACTTTGATTCTCTCCGAGAGTCTATTATGGAGCAGAGTTCGGCACTGCCTGGCAGACATTTGGAAATTCCTGGCAGGAAATTCCCCTTTATCAAGCCAGCCAGTTTAGCCCAGCCCTGGCCATCATACTCATTATCATTGTTATTATCATCAGACATGGAGTCAGTTGCTCTACATCACCACAGGATAGACATGTACACATTCACAGACAGAGTTCTTCTCTGACTCAAAACACCAGAGAGTCACAGATATGGAGAGAGACACTGGCAGCGAGATAAGAGGATCCTTGAGTGTGTGTGAAAGTGTGCACGTCTTCAAGAAGGAAACATTCCTTCCTGTGCGTCTGGAGTTCAAAAACACTCACGAATGACTTGATGTTTGGACCAATTCCATAAAGTCATTCACTTCCTCACGTCCCAAATCCTTCCCCTCAGTTACCTTGTGTTACATAATGTTGTGTTATGTTACTCTCTACACAAACACACCAATATTTCATCTCTTATCTTCTTCTGCGGCAGCCACTGTCAAGTTACTATAACGGTCATTAAAATGAATGAGTCTGCTGTGCTTGCATTTAAATATAAACTTCCATCCGTGTCTTAGGACAATTTATTTGTATATTTAAGTATCTTTGCTCACACAGATAAAGATTGTGTCAGGTCCTACTTGCTTGTGTGGTATACACTACGTATGCTGTTGATTTCAGTACAAAAACTACAAAATGTCAGAAAGGAAGTTCACTCCTGTGCTAGGCAGACTTTAACCATATTCATGCTCCGAGGAAGGCCTCTGGCCATAACACATTTATGTCTTTGATGGTGTGCCAACTCTTCCACTTGATTATCGGATTCATATATTTAAGTACCCAGTTTCTCTTTTTTATTCAAGTTCTCAGCCATAAAGGAAGCGCATTCAGCACAGTTTAGAGTTAGTAGAGGTCGGAGATGTGGCAATGATATGAGACAATTTTCTCTACAGTCAGCAACTTTGCCATACCATTTATACTGGGGTAGTCACTTTTTATCATCCCTAGGTGTATTAAACCATTGAAATGTTCAAGTGAAAGAGCAAGACTGTTTAAAGGGAATATTGGATCCTTGTGACTAAGTGACTATAATGTGACATTTAATCCACTAAATAAACCGAAGAAATGCAGCTCTGGTTATTTTATACGTTAACAGTTCCTTAATTTATCATGTTTAAATATGCATAGATATTGTGATATAAATGATATTACTGTATGCACATCGCCCACACTTAGTTGGAGGATATAAAGACTGTCAAATGAAAAGGTCAAGATTTAGACTCAGTAATTAAACAACTTTACTTTTTGTTTCAAACCAGAAAACAGGTCAATTATAAAATGGAAGAAAAGAAAAAGAAAAGCTAGAAATAAACATATTATATCATCATCTGTCCCACTCATTGTACAGTACGTCCTCACCTTATGATGCGCTGGGCGGCGTACTGGTGGAGACAACGAAACTGGGCAGACATGTTGGCAAGGGCAGCGAGACAGTTGGTGTGGAGGTACTTATCCTGCGGAGGATGCACACACATACATAAACATGTTAATAATGTTACTGCAAAGCAACAAATGACTCTGTAGTATCAATCTTTAGAGTCTCATCGTAACAAAAGCCATATGGAGGATGTGGATGTGAATAATTACAGTTTGAATAATTACCATTTGGTTTCTGAATGCACTGCTGTTTGGAAACTGTGTGAATGAATCCGTATTAAACTTACCCTTGTGCGGGTCATGTTGAACTGGATGGTGCGGATGACCACCAAAATGAGCAAACTGCCAAGTGAGATCTCTGTCAATGTTCTCTCCGTGTACCATGTGATGTTCTTCAATTCCTGTGAGAGGTAGACACAAAGAAATGAGACATGACTTTTGAATCCATCAGGAATTATTTACAATTTTCCCTGCCATTGCAAGTGAAGAAAGGTTTCAGTGACATTGCATGGAATGTACACAATGTGTATTCAGTTGTGTCTACCCACCACTTCATGGACAGAGCGATTGAAGGCGTCGTCCTCGGTGAGGATGAGGAGGATAATGAGGGCCATGTAGACATGATGAGAATTTCTGTTTTCCACGTGGTAAAGGATCTCGAGGATGGGCAACACCTGAGAGGAAGATGGGAGAGCAGAAGGAAGAGCTGAGCATGTGTAGGTGTAGTCGCAGGAAAAACATTCATTATATCCTTGTTACAAGATTCCACAAGCAAACAGCCTGAAGGGACAAAAATATAAATATTAATCCTGCAACAAGAAACAACTAAAAAAGCTGAATTCATTTTCTACAAAGCAATGGTATGCACAATTAAAAAAGGTATTCGTTGTGTTTTTCTTTTCAGTGAAAGGGAGCTTTTGTTGTCTAGCCTGGGGGCTTTGTTAAAGTTGAATCCATCAACAAGTCAAATACCATTCTATTTTTACTAGGGCTGCACAATATATGTTTTTGTTTTATATCGACATTGTCATGCAATGTAATTTTGCACGATATTGCATTCAGGGATCATTTTAGTTAGTTGAAAGAGGATAACAGTAGAAAATTGCACTTTACCAAGGGGCTATTATTCTTTCAGTTATTGGAGCCTTTTGTATTCTTTCTATGGTAAGTCATTTCGTTTCATTTGTTCTTCAATTCAACAAGCATCTGTTGTATTATTTAAAGTGTGTTACTATAGAAGTGCTAGTATCAAGTCAAAATCTAGAGTCCTGTATACAAGCATATTACAAATGTCAAGTAAAAAGTAGAAAAACAGCAATATACAAATACAGAAATATAGACATGTCAGAATAAAGGAGGGAGATAATAAAACGGTAAAAGCAGCACTGCAGATTCCCATTGAGAAGATATTTACATTATTTACTAATTCATGGCTGCTTCACTATAGGCAGAAGCAGATTGTATATTTAGATATGCAGAACAGATGGTAAAAGTGATCCGCTAACGTCAACAGTGGCAAAAGATTGTCTACTCAGACTCATATTGTCGGAGTGAAAGCAGTTAGTAGCTAGCATGCTGAGCGATGAACCCTCACAGATGCAGCGTTAGCTCATTACGCCGCCGTGCAGCCGTGCTTTGTTATGGCTAGACTCATTAGTACACCCCTACATAATAAACTCAATCTAGACTTGCTAATGGTAACATTTTATAATAGCAGCTATAAATGAGAAATAACACAGAAAGGTCATGCTGATAGACATGCATTCATTTAATTGCCCTGCGTTCTTTTAGAATATGATGTCTATTAAAAGTAATTTGCTGCATGTGTTTGCCGATTGCCATGAATCTTTTTTTGCAATTCTTAACAGACTACTTTTTCAACTGCTTTCTAATCAAATCTAATAATTTAGTGTTGCACTGCACGAAAAGCCTCACATGAATGTCTACAATGTTCATACATGATACCATCTGACATGCTGGTCTACAGATTGATTTTCATTCACTAAATGCCTCAGTACATTCACTCAGCTGGAAGGAATAACTGGCACTGTCCCACATGGACCGGAGAGCACCAGCTGCCACTGTATACATCCTCCCTGCTTTCCAAGCCATAGCATTTGGTCCAAGATGAAACGATTTCATGGCCATACCCATGTGTGTAGGAAGGACTGCATAATGTGTTTTGTTGAGGATTGCCAAACAACCCAGTGTTCTTTGCTACTGCTATTTCCATAACCTACAACAGAAAATATAATTAGGTTTTTAGGTTAGATATCTGAATGTAGGTTTGTGGTTAACACAAGCCTAAGAGATTTCAATGCGTTTTACTATGACACAAAATACAAAAATAAATCCTGTTGTGAATTTTAAGCTTTTACATGGAAAGGATGGGAAAATGAGAATACAGGGTTTGTTGGGAGACGCCATCTTGCCAAAAACAGCTATCTACTCAGTGGTGGTGGTTTAAGTTATCCAACCTTTGTGTAGATAATTTACACCCTATTCTTAGCTTTTTACTTCTGACGATTTATATAGGCATAATAAAATAATTAAAGCAGTGTTCATTTGTAGACATTATCTTGTTGAACAAAGCATGTTAGTATCATACATTTTTTCTGGCCATAGAGTTTATTTTCTTTAATAATCCCAAATTGAATAGAAATAATCCATTGTCTTTTTATTAAAAGAACCAGGGCTATGTTCTCTTCAAGGTTGGCCTACAAAAACCCGTCATTATTGCAGCGCATTTTTATCAAGTGGTCTTCATTGCCATTCTACCCACCAGATTGTCCATGTCAGTCCTGGAGAGCATATACGTCCTCATGTTTGCGTTCTGGTGAAGAAGGGTGTACAGTAGAAGAGTGGCCTGGTCAGAGCGCTGCTGCTCACACAACGCTGTGTACAGACTGTTGAAATTGATCTGGAAGGTGTGAGGTTGCTCAGCGGACATCGAAGACGTGTCTGCATGTGGAGAAGTCAATATTGTCAGGATGATAATGTTATCACATTTGTTCATTAACACCTGGTATATGTAATACACATTAAATACTCGAATAAAAACAAAAGTAAAACCAACAAATATATACCTTGTGTGTTTCTGAAACATGTGATGGCCTGGCGGTAGGGGTTTGGCCAGTCGGGGCCGTCTGTCAGATTGGCGAGCACCAGCAGTAACAGGAGGCTCTGATTGGACAGTGGTAGGGGGTTGTGTTCCTGGTCTACACCGGCTTTGTTGCCAGCCCCTCCCAATGTGAAGACACTCCATAACCCACCTGAAGACAGACACATAAATGGTGCACCGATAAAAAATATATTCCCTATAATAATATAGAGAAAAACATGTTTTTTTTACTCTCCAAATGCTTTTTAGTTATATATGACTTTAATTTCTGGTGAGTTCATGGATTTTTGCAATTTTGTGTGTGTTTTTTCCAGTGTGTATTACATTAAAGGCCAGTGTTTCCCCTACCATTTTCTTGGAGGGGCGCTGCGCCCTGCCAACGGAGTCCCGCGCCCCCACTGAAATTCAAGGTGTTTAAAAAAAATATATATAGATATGTATTTTTCATTTTTTTTAAATATATATATAGCACCAAATTGCAACTAATCTATATCTACTGTTACTTTTCACATTGAAAATGTGCTCTTTTATTAAATAAACTAAACGCTTTCATTTTAAGTTGTGAGTTTAGTGTTTTTGACCCAAAGAAACACTGATGCATTAATCAATAAAAATAATCCACAGCTCCTCTCTCTGCTCCAGAGGATTTAAAATATATATATATCCCAATGCCACCTACATATGGGCTCGTGTCCAACATACATTTAACCTTTTCCACAAAGACACAGTTAGCTGTCTCAGTGTGGTGAGCACAGAAACCAAACTGCATTGGGTGGAGTGGAGCGAAACCTTTGTCTAAATGTTTGGTGATTCGTTTTGACAGCCATTTCTCAGCTATCTTAAAAGGCACAGGGGATGATGCTGATTGGTCTGTAATTGGACGTCATTGCCTTTTTATTAAAAAAATCGGTGTCACCGTGGCCACTTTCCAGGACGATGGAACTTCCCTCGTGCTGATAGATTGATTTACTAACATACAAATTGGTTTTATTAGACCGTCGATATGTGTCTTTATAAAGTTGGTGTCTAAACCATCTGCATCCCTTGCCTTAGAACCTCTTAACCCTAAGATCATATTTTTTACCTCCACCTCTGTGATTTCCTCCAGGTCAAAAAGGGGCGTGTATCCACAGTCGGGCTATGGGAGACCTCAGATGGCGGGAAGAGCTTTGCAATAACAATGATATTATTAATGTAATTCAAGCCGCTTTAAGCACAGAAAAAATGCAATGTTCTTCTTTATCAAACACACATCCCTGTGTGATACCCAGGTAGGATTTCTAAGACTTAGAAACGAGAACCAAAGCTCTCTGTGTCAGAACAACAGACTGATGGATGGATCTCGGCCTCAGTGATGAAGAGCAGTCAGGTTGTGAATGTCCAACTTTTTATAGAAAGCATTTTTGTATTACTTGCAGCTCTTAAGCCTTTAACTGATTTACGCTTCATGAGGAGTCGAATGCAGGGGCGGACTGGCCATTGGGAATACCGGGAGTTTCCCCGGTGGGCCGGTGCTGTGTGTGGGCCGGAGGGCCCAAAAAAAAAAAAAAAAATCTTCTTTATTTTGCTTAAATCCTACTGGCCCACATTTGTAAGTGTTCCGGCCCAGCCCAGTCCAGCCCAGCCCAGCCCAGCCCAGTGGGGTGTGGCCCA